TGAACCACTAGAAGCAGCAGATGTACACCAAAAAAAAATCCAAGTGACCTGCAGAATCTTTCCTGGGTGCAGAGAAAACATGCTGCACTACCAGGGAGAATCACTAGCAAGGTGTCATTCCATGCAGATTTCAAGTTGGTTTAAAAAGTAACACTGATCAGGCTTCATTTGCAATAGTCTCCTTGGATTGCAGTGCATATAAATCCAATAAATAAATTGCCAGAGTAACATGTAGCCCTTGCTTAGCTCTTTGTTTTACAAACTGATGGTTGACACCCAAGTGCTTTGGGTGCTTCACCTCCCTGAAGCAGGTTAATATTCTCCTCATTTTACAGAAAGGAAAACTGAGGAAGGAGTAACTGATTTTTGAAAACCATAGAGGGAGTCAGCGTCAGGATTAAAACCTAGAGGGTAGCTGATTCCCAGTGCTATGACTGACCAGACCTGGTCTCTCTTAAAAACTGGCACATCCTCATCTGTACAGAAAAGACACCTAAGAGGGGACATGACAGCAGTCTTCAAATACTTGAAGGGCTGCCATAAAGAAGAGGGTAAGCACCTTTTCTCTCCTGCTGCAGAGAAGGAGGACACACACCTGTAGCTTGAAGTTGCAGCAAAGTAAGTTTATATTGGATCTGGAAAAACTACTTCACTGTGAGAATAGTGAGGCAGTGGAATAGATGCCTAGGGGAGTTGTGGACTCTCCACCACTAGAGGTGTTCAAGAAGAGATTGGTCAGCTACTGGTCGGAGATGATCTAGGCAGAGCTGTGCCTATTTTCTACCCTGGGTATTTCCCATACTTCTGGGCTTTACTGGTTGCTCCTGCCCCCCTTCACCCCTCTTTCTTTTCTGCTCTGTGTGTCAGGGTGTTTGTAAGCCTCCCCAGAAGCATTGGGTTTTGGCTACAACTAAGGCTGGGGACTTCACCTGGGGTGTGCAGATTCTCCTGCTAGGAGCAAAGCTGGAGGTTCCTGGCTAAAAAAGTCTTGCCTCTCCACTCAAGGTCAGATTGATCACTATAATTGTGGTAAGGAAGGAATTTTACCCCATGGTCAGATTAGTACAGGCTGGGAGGGAGGTTGCTTTCCTCTGTAGTGGGGGTGTGGTTTTCTACCCAGGACCTCTTGTGCATATATTGACGTTTTTGATAGAAGCAGGACATTGGCTGCCTTGGTTCCCCTGCTTTACCTGTGGCAGGTTCAGGTGTTAAGTCTATGCTTTGTCAGGGTTGAGGGCAGTTTTATGTAGAGTTTAGATTATGGTTGTATGGGATGGTTTGGGTAGGGGTGATCCTGCCTCAGGCAGGGGGTTGGACCAGATGACCTCTGGAAGTCCCTTTCAGCCCTACATCTCTATGACTTCTGTGACAACCACTGGAAGCTGACATATTACTGGAATGCACTATGTGACTATTTTCATGTAGTCGGCCTCTAACTACAGCAGAAATGGTGTCTGTCCTGTCTGCACTCCACAAGAAGTGCACGTATGTCTGCTGTGCTGCAGTGCTCCCGATGGCGCTCGTTCTTACACAGTTACTGACTGCTAGGGCTGGTCATGTGCCTGAAGCCCTGGAGTGGGATTCAGGACACCCGAGTTGAGATCCTGTTCTACCACGCACTTCCTTAGACCTCAGAGAGGCACCAAAGCCCTGGGTGTCTTCCCACTGCCAGCAGCGTACTTTTAACCAGATCCTACATCTCGCTGTGCCATGGGTCCTCATTCATAAAATGGGGGTGATAACTTCTCTGGAGGCTGGTGTAAGAATGATGGTATCGCTGCACTTCACGCTTTTGACATGATGAGTGTTTAGAGAAGCCTAGAAATATATACTACGATTGGAGTGCTA